GGGCGAAGAATACAATCCAAAATTGTTGGATTGTATACCTGGATTATTGAGCATGGACTTGTTGTTTTGAACCAGTTTGACATGACTGTCGACGAGGGAGAGGGAGGGCACAGGAGGAGAGGGCATGCCCCAGAGACCATCTTAACACCAACATAACTGGTTTTTTCCACTTTGGAGTAAGCTATTGGGGGAGAATCAGTTTTGTGTTGTGTGTTTCCTTGACTGATGAAGCCTTCTGGATGGAAGGTGAAACGTTTCAGCACACACACAAAAAAAGAAACTGTCCAGATGATTTACGGAAAATTGTTGGATTATTGTCCCTCCTACCTCCTAGCAGTTTTAAAGTTACGTTATCGCTGATAATATGCAGCTTTGCACGCAGGTAAAACAGGAAGTGTTGTTTTTGTTAGCTTTGTGTAACCCTTTTCCTAAACCTAACTTACACCTGACCCAGAGCACTGACCCTAAACTTAACCCCCTTACCCTTGAGCCTAAACCTAACCCCCAGACCCTTCACTCTGAACCTAACCACGTGAGCCTATTATCAGCACTAACCTACTAGGAGGTACAAGAGGGGCAGTCTGCACACAACATATGGGATGATAAGTGATAATGGCCATGCATTAAATAGCACTGAAGGTGCTATTTATAAGACTGAGTACATTGCAGCTCCTCAGACTGAACAAGTCTTTTGGATAAAAGATGAAACGTTACAACAATTTTTTTTTATCCATCCAGAGGACCTGTCTTAACTTTGCTAGATTTTTCTACCTGGATTATTGAGCATGCGTCAGGAGATCTTTGTTGGATTGTTCCTACATCTTGAGGACGCCCCTTTCAGGAACTGTTCAGCGTGTTTTGGGTCAAATACCTCTGTTCTCTTTCACTTGTCCAGTTACCTTTTTCTATGAGACAGTATACAGTATGGGTAGATCTAATGTGTTCGACCTGTCAAGTCTGGCAGAGACTGACTCATTAGTTCTGAGCCATTACTTACATTTGTTGAGAGACAGAACAACAGTCACTAGAAGTGACTATTTACTATTTATAGTTACTATTCACACCTTATGTCGTAGCAAATTACTAGTTTGTGAACCTCGTTCATTGACATGGCAATAATAAACTGATTCTGATTCTGAGAAGTTCCACAAATCATGTAAAATACCATTTTGCAGGAGAACTTTTAGACAGACAGTCTGCTCTATTAGGAGTTGTAAGTTTTGGAACTCATTACCATCTGATTTTAAGACCATAACTGACGTTAAAATATTCACTTCAAGGCTGAAGAATTGGCTAAAGATGATCCAGAATTGTACTCATTTTAAAATATTCTAGTTGTTTAGACTCAGTAGTTTTAAATGCATTGTTTTATATTTCTTTTTCATCAATTTATTGTACAGTTGATCTTAACTTTTCATTTAACCAACTGTAGTGAGTCACGTGAGATACGTGTCACTTGTTGTATGACAAATATATGGATATATATTTATGCATACTTTTCACGAGTTCTTCATTTTTCTGACTGTAAATGCCGTGCATTGAATTTAACACAAAATGTAACGAGAGACGTTATTTATCTTTGACCCATCAAATGAATGGAATCATTTATTTTCAGAATCAAAGTTTAACATCAAACATTTACATTAATTTGGCAAAATATGAAAATAATAACAGACAGTTTCACAAATAATGAACTTCAAATCACTCGGCGGTGATTTGAGGACTTTGCTTCAGATATTTCTAAAAATATCTGTACTGATTTATGAGAGAGAAGAGTTTAAGATGAAAGGAGATTATCTTACAGAGAACTATGTGAGGGAATTTAATCTGTTTGACCAGAAGTTGCACGCTCCCATCAGGTATCTCAGCTTTGCCCACGGTACACTTGGTCGAAGAAGAAGTCTTTACCTGGTTTGACGATAGATCAGCTCAGTAAGAGTCCTTCAGACTGTTTCAGCGCCTCCGTTGAGAGCAGCTAAAAATCCTCGGAGAGTCGTGCGTGGTTAGCTCAAAACAGAATTATAATCCCAAACGTCTCTGGTTCTTCATAACTCCAAACTCTTCATAACTCTTGGACTCTTCATTGCTCTGAAGCTTTCAGAACCGGCTGCACTCTCGATCTTGGAACTCTCACATTCTCCAGAACTCTCTCAGAACCGGGAAGTTTTCACATTTTAAATGAGTTTACTTCCGGGTTTACTTAGAGCTTTCTGATTCGTGGATGGACCAGAAAGAGGAGTGGTTTTGACGTAAGGTGTTTATCAACAGTCGAGGTCAGAGAATGAAATCTGTTTTCACGTACAGAGAGATTATTGCAGAAGCAGCAGACTTCGTGGAGTCAACTCTTGGTAATCTTCTGAAAAAGTTTAAACATGACATTTCTTCTTCAGTAAACATTTAGCTGACCGAAGCCTCAACTTTCACACACTTACGACAGCTTGCTCATTTCAGACAGAAAATCAAGAAATGCATATTCAGGTGATTTCTTCTCTGAATGAGGAATAAAAATCATTACTTACTGTTTATGTAAAATAAAAATGAGTAGTTCTTTTCAACCTGTAAAGCATTGAGTGAACTAACACAATTTGATTATTAAAACATTTGTAAAACAGTAATGATTATAGAGGATTGTCTTTTCTGCTTGATTAATTCAAGAAAGAAAGTCATCAGATGGTTCAGACTTATTCAGATCAATGAACATAACAGTCTCTGTCCATCTGGTAGATTTGAGGTCATCTGGTTCACTACACAACTGTTAAAGGTCCTTCTAGGGACGGGTGTTGCGAGTTAGCTTTGGCTATATACACTGTGATACAGGCATTAAATCGTTTTGATCTATGTTGTCTGTCCTTATCAAACAAACAATAAATAAAATACATTAGTTCAAATTATTTATTTAGGCCAAGAGTAGCTGTACAAAAACACTGAAGCATTATTTTGGCCACATGTTCATTTTTCTCCTGTTTCTGTCGCAATTTTCAATCCGCTGCTCCTCCCTCACATTTAGAAAGACACATAGAATTTAGAATATTCATTCAACCTTTATTTATACAGATTAATCACATTGAGCCTCGGAGACTCATTAACGAGTGAGACTTGTTTTAAACAGACAAAGGTAAGGAAAAGAGAAAACACGAGGGGAGGTAAAAAAATTTTTTGTATTTCTTACTATGTCCTGGCCGGGGCACAGTGTGAGAGTTGAAAAAAAAAAAAAGGACCTTGCACATAAACAGCAACATAATGACATCATAATACATTTATGCATGAGGAGGCCGACGAGGGCAGTGAATTGTTCGTGGGCACTGACAGAAAGTTCCATAGTCCTGATAAAGATGGCACAGTGTTTATCAGCCAGCTCAACTCTAACACAGGTCCACAGGTGTCCTCGGGAGGGGAGGAGCAGAGCTTCTCGTTCACATAGACAACCAAGAGAGTTTGAGATAGCTGGCCAACTCAAGGCTGAGTGGAGAAGCCAAATTCAGATAGCACAATTATTTTAGGTCAGGCAGCCTCTGCTTGATTTCATGCCTGCCTTTCGAAGTTCTGCTGGTACGTCTCAGTGGCGATTCCAGTCAGACAAATGTTGTGGTCACACCACCGGACCGAGCTTGTAGCCTTCTCCAAGGTCGATTCCTTCCCGCCAGTGAGTCCCAGGAGCTGCAAGTGGCCTGCAATTTTCAGAAATCACATCCAGATTGTGGCTCAGCTCATACAGTGTATGAGTCTGAGAGCTTATCGCTCAGTACATCCCTTCAAGCCGGGCAGCTTTACCAAGGCCAGAACGGCTGAAGACATTTTCCACATGTGTCGATAAGCCAGGTAACCGCCGACTCCAAAACGCAGAAATCCTGTTTTCATAAATCTTATTATGTATGTGTCTTCAACATCCTCAATGGACAATACAGACACCATCTTCTACTGTCCCCAGTAATCCGTAGTATAACCAGCTGCAAGTGTCCTTTCAGGGCATGAGGGCTCTCCTTCACCCCGTCTTCTCGTCAAGAAAATTTTATCAATTGCGTTGAGAGACCAGCTGACCAGATCCGTAATTTACAATCTTTTTTTTTTTTTCATTCAACATTTATTTATACAAGCTAGCCCGGACCTGTTCCAAACAGAACATATAAAGTACAGACAACAAAACAGTAGAGAATGACAACAATAAACTACAGTAAAAATGCAGTTTAAATAAATGTAGTGTACAAAACAATAAATCAGGGTGTCGTAAAAGCGGGTGAAATACTAAAAACAAGAAAATATTTGCTTTGATTTTTCTATTGACATTATCAAGCTAAAGAGGATGGAGGCAGGAGCAGGAGGGAAAGTGTCTGTCCTCGTCAAGAGCAAGCATCCAAAACAAGAATTGTCCTATTTTATTATTAATTTTATTATAATTACTATTATTTAAAGGTTTAATGACATTTTTAATACAGCTCATAAGACTTTCACTCAGCCTGCAGCCAGAAGATGGAGCCTTGGATGCAGGAATGTTTTCCTGAAGGCTTCATTCAGTTCTTGCCCAAATTTTTTTGTTTATGTGCATTTGCATAATGTGGTAACAGGCTTTTAAAAATACTTTAGTATGTGTAGTTTTTTTTTTTTTAATTATTATTAGTGTCAGTTCCACGCTTGACGCTGGGGAGCAGCTGTGCAGTCGGAGCACATCTGGAGCTTCTTTATCAGTTTGAAACAGACAGCCTTTGTTAGAGAGTGACTCATGTGTCTCAGCCCCTCAGAGGCGCTGATGTTATGTTACTGACGGGCCGCCCGTCCGCAGCGGCTCCAACAGCTGGCTGAGGGCTGGAAACATCTGCAGCGCCTTTTCCAGAGCGATGAAGCAGCTGAGTGGCTCTGCTCAGGGAGTACTGCAGGGAACACCTCCAGAAGGAAGCTCAGCCGTGAGCAGCCGGCATCACAAGCTGCTCACCGATGGGACAACCTGAGACGCCTCTGTCCAAGATTCAAACATCTGTAGAGGGCAACAAAACTACTGGAAGGAAATGAACAAGATGAAAGATTCCTCTGAAGAGCTTCTGCCTCTGTCACAGAGACTCCCCAGTTTGTCTTCGGTTCCTACAAAGAGACGGTTTGTCAGGCTGCGAAGGAAGACCAGTGAGGGCTCCCAGTGAGTATGAACGAGCTGGAAACACGACACTCAGCTGGACTCCAACAGAATCAGGACTAAACCCTCTCACATACAACTAGGAACAAATTATAAAGGGATAGAAGTAAATGTAGACAATTTATTTCTTTGTTTGTTTGGGTTTTTATGGAATTCTGTACACGAGGGGGAAAAAATGCAGAAATTGTTGTAAAATACCAACAGTTGTGTATATTTTTTACTATGGTGAATGTATGACAGACAGGTAAAGGTTGTGGAGTTTATAACAACAGCTGTTTTAGAATTTCAAGACAAAAATTTAGATGTTAATGTACAAAGTATGATAGTAGTTTTTTTTTTTAAGCAGAAAATAACTTGTTGCTGGAAGAATTTTTCCTTTTATTTATGATGACATTGTGTTTTTTTATATGATGACACAAAAACATCCACAAGAATGCATCTATAACCCCAGGCAAAATTGGCCTTGCTTAAAAAAAAAAATACATAAAAACAAAGTTTGAAAAACGCAAAAAAGCAGAGCCACAAGAAAATGGAAATATTTATTGTTAGTGTCTTGTTTTTATTTAGTTTATGGCACTCATCTCCAGACACCTTCAGTGCTTCATTAGTGACTTCCCAGCTCAGCTTTGAGGGCCTCTCATACAGTCGAGCTCTCCTCTGCACCACCTCCACATCTGGATCGATTTACAGTCGGAACTCGGATCAATGTAACACTGCGATTCCTTTCTTTTTCAACCATTTCGTTGTAGATCTGATGTGTCTGTTGTCTTCTTTCATTATGTTTTCAATCAAACCTGTGTAGAATAGATTGTTTCCTGTTTGGCATAGCTGGAAAACAGGCCCAAATCATCAGCCTTACACCCTCATGCTTAACAGCTAGTGTGCGGCGTTTGTGCTGATGTGTTGTGTCTGTTTTTTTTTTTTTTAAACTTGCTGCTGGTCATTATGGCCTAACATCATGTTTTATGATGTGATCGTTGTGCTGCCATGTCCTTTTTAGAGAGAAGAGGCTCTCCTGAAAACCCACTGAAATCAGCTGTACTCAGTAGGTCTCCTTCTGACTGTCCTGTAATGAACTTTGACCTTTTACAAGTTGCAGTCTGCAGAGTCTGAGATGTAGCTCTTGGACCTTTTTATATTTTTTGGGGGGGTAATTCTTCTGAGCATTGCACGGTCTGAACTTGGGGTTTATTTGCTAGAACATCCACTTCTGGCAAGACTGAAACAGCAAGTGTTCCCTCTTGTGAATAATCTTTCTATCGTCTGAATCTGATGACGACAGAGTGGCATTGTAACAAACTTCAGATTACACATAAACCTTTTCAATATCAGGAGGTTCTGAGCTGCCACGAAACTGGCCAGTGTGTGGATTCTTGAGCTGCAGTAATCTACCAACAGAGTCCCTCACGCACGGCCCGTCTTCACAGCCAGTAACAAACGACTGGTAATAGTTTTGTCCTTTTAATACCTGGACAGTTTCCTATCAGAGGACTACAGTATGAACCACACAATTCAACACCAGATCAGGCATGCTTCCGCTGCTTTTGGGAAATAACGGCACCGGGTCTTCCATCCATCCATCCATTATCTTTACCCGTTTATTCCATTTTGGGTCACGGGGGTCGCTGGTGCCCATGTCCAGCAATCACTGTGCGAGGGGCGGGGTACACCCTGGACGGGTCGCAAGTCCATCACAGGGACACATAGAGACAAATGACACAAACAACCATTCATTCTCTCACTCACACCTAGGGACAATTTAGAGTTACCAATCAGCCTAACATGCATGTTTTTGGTCTGTGGGAGGAAACCGGAGCACCCGGAGAAAACCCACGCATGCACGGAGAGAACATGCAAACTCCACCCAGAGAGACCCCTGGACCGGGGTTTGAACCAAGGACCTGCTTGCTGAGAGGCAGCAGCTCTACCAGTTGCGCCACCGTGCTGCCCGGCACCGGGTCTTCCAAAACAAAAATCTCCATCTGTCCACCAAGACTGGTCTATCAGGTGGTCTGTATGAGCACCCTCCTTTACAGCTGTGAAACCCGGGTCACCTACAGCCACCACATCAGGTCTTAGAGCGCTTTCATATAGGATGCCTACAGTGCATCCTGGGGATAACCTGGCGTGACCGTGTGCCTCATGCTGAGATACTTTTAATTGCAGAAGCATCAAGGCCATTCTCACCCAGCTGGCTTGGACATGCAATCCGGATGCCTCTGCATCGACTGCCTCAAAAAGCGCTGCATGGCCAATTACATCATGGCCAGCACTTAGCCGGAGGGCAGAAAAAAGATGTAAAGACCAGCTGAAAACCTCTTGAAGTGTAACATCAAGCCTGAGGAGCTGGAGGCTGTTGCTGCTGACCGTGACTCCAGTGTTGCTTCACAGGTACAAACAGGCTGGAGGAGGGCAGGACCGCCAGAAGAGTGAGGAAAAGAGAACAGAGACACAGGAAGAACAAGCCCTCTGATGCACTACCAGCACAACAGCAACTTTCATATGCGCAGCATGTAGCTCCAGAATTGTCTTTTATAGCCACCAAAGAACTCATCGCTATAGGACATACGTGGACGTTTCATTCTCAGAATGTGTGACATATGAAAACTGCTTCCTCAGCCACCAGGATTCTGTAAAGACATAACTGCAGAGAACCTTTGAACCAAAGCTGTAAGAAGCTTAGAGTCTTGGTGAGGGGGGAACAACACTTTATTGTTTCAGTCAAACACAGGGAGAGCTGATGGAGGCATTGTGAAGGGGACCAGAGCTGGAGAAAGACACGTATGGAGCTTATTGATCAGCTTTAGCTGGTAAGCAACAGCCATTTTTCTCTTTGTTCCTTAGATTTACTGTTTTATTTTTGTCTCTTTCAGGTCAGCAGTATCCACTGTGTCTACCTGCCGGTCAGCTGAGGGTGCAGCCGTCAAACAGCACAGCCAAAATCCCATCCGTCGCCACACCAACCACCTATCAGACTTCTTCCTTCGCACCCCTGCAGCCGGCTCAGGCTCCATGTCACAGACCACAGGGCTCCGATCAGCACGCTCTGCGCAAGCCAGGAAGGGAAGCAGTAGGTCACGCCGAGTTTATTTTCTGCCTGCATGCTTGGAATAAGAGTTTGATGGCTGTAGCTTCTGTGTGACATTCATCATTTATTTACCTTTTTGGATAAAATGTAAAATCTAATTCATCTTATTAGGGATATGTCAGTGTTTGGTTTGAAAACCTTTACAGCCTTTGTTAGGAAGATGAACCAACAATGGCTAAAGTTAGATGTTTTGTGACTACATTTAGAATATATTTCCCCTGCTTTTAGGATTTTTCATTAAACACCAAGCATTATTTGAAGGAATGCATATCACCCGCCGCCTTTCATGATAGAGCTTTAAAGTCAAATCATCTTATGTTGAGAAAATAATGTTACACACAAGCTCACACTCAGAGTATAAGATGTGAATGATTTTCAGCAACTACCACCTCAGAGTTTAGCCTAACATATGGTAAACTGAGTTATAGTTGTTTTTGTGTTTGCTACTTCCAATTAGCTGGGGTGGCCATTTTAAATCAGATTGACTCCAAAACGTAATCAGCTGTAGGTGTATGATGGAAGATTTTATTGGGAAAAAGTTTATAATGTTCATGAGATATTTTGCCAGTGGGCAGAGTTTACTTGAACAGGATTAATCCGTTCAACCTTTATTTAAACAGGTTAGTCTCATTGAGCCTCTGGGACTCATTTACAAGAGAGACCTGTTTTAAACAGAGAACTCAGATGAGGTACACACAACAGACAATCATATAAAAGCGTATAAAATCAAAAAGTAAATAGAAGAAATTATATAAAAAACAAAACAAGAACAGCTACATTATAAAGCAGTGTGCAATACTAAAAACAGGAACATGTCTATGGGGTGTTGTTTGTAAATTTACACAGTCAAAAATTCACAGCAGTATTTTTGGTTTACTTTGTCTTTTATAAGAAAAAAACATTTTTTTTCAAAGTCATTTTTTCACCTTGTTATTCATACATTTATAAATGTCATAGGTCCTAATTAAATATTTAGTTTACAAACTAGTTAGCTTGCAAGTTAAATTTTTAGTTAGCTAGCTAAATATTTAGTTCCACACTAAATATTTAGTTTACAAACTAAATGTTTATGTCCAAGCTAAATGTTTATTTCACAAACTAAATATTTAGTTAGTGAACTAAATATTTAGTTAGTCAACTAAATATTTAGGTAGTGAACTAAATATTTAGGTGTAAATTAAATATTTAATTTCCAAGCTAAATATTTATTTTCAAAACTAAACATTTAATTTCCTAATTAAATGTTTATTTTTCCAAGCTAAATACTTAATTTCCAAACAGAACAATTAATTTCTAAGTTAAATATTTAATTCCAAAATTGAACATTTAATTTCTAAGCTAAACATTTAATTCCTAAACTAAATATTTAATTTACTAACTAAAAATTTAGCTTGGACCTAAATATTTATTTTCCAAGCTAAGCATTTAATTTCCAAAACAAATATTTGTTTAGCTTGCTAGCTAAATATTTAACTTGCAAGTTAAATGTTAACTCAAACTTAAATATTTAGCTAATATTCAAATTCCTTGCTGAAAAGCAGGAATGGACTATCAAAATAAAACCCGAACCTCTCTCTCTCTCTCTCTCTCTCTCTCTCTCTCTCTCTCTC